GTTTGTACTCCTGTGCGTGTGGACGCTGGGATCGCATGAACAGGTCCGGCTGCGTCTGGATTCCTCCCCTTGCGCTTGCCATTACAAGAGATTTCGTACAACTCAGCGAACACATTAACGATGGACTGTCTGTCGCACGTATGGCTGCCAGAATCATATGTAACAGTTGCGATCGCATGATTATTTTTCTGCGGCTGGATGCCGCTGAAGCACTTCAAGTCTTTACCCTGGTCCAAGATGTGTTCGATCGTATCGCGTCGGCATGCTCGTTCGATTCGTCGGTTGAAATCCTGTCCTGCGATCGTGTCTGTCGGGTCCACGAATTGTATATTGCACCTCGCAGGTTGTAGAGTTAATGGCACGACGTTCATGGCGCTCCCGCGGAGGAGGAGTCTGCTGGAGAAGAGGTTCGGGGATTGCGTTCTCCAAGTCCTCGCGCGCGATGCCCAATCCAAAAGTGAGCATTATAATGCGACTTGAGCATGCGAGGTGTCTTCGGTACGTCTCGATGCTGTCTGGTGGCCAATGGGCTTTTGCTTGTCTCTTGAACTGACACCGCGCTTATTACTGGTTGTGTTCTCGAATATCCAACCCCACTGTAAAACAGTAGTCTTGTGATCCGAACCCATATTGACACCAAGGGTCGCTTCGCAATTCCGCGCGCCCTTCCGAAAGAACTTGCTCGATTGTAGACAACCCAAGCATCGCGACCCCAAGGGCAATTTGCAATTGACATGGTTTTTTTTTTTCCGAAGTACGCGCTGTCAATCTCCGCCTTACGAATCGACGTCCACTGTTTTTGCCGCTGCCATTTTACATTCAAGTCCCCGTAGCCGCGCTGCCCGACACTGAGTTTGTCATCGGTTTCGCTTCGATCCCCCGCGGGCGAACTGCAATCTGCACCACAAGCACATATAATGTTCTCCAGAACGGCTTCCTCTACGACGCAACCCAATGCATCGCATACTTGTTGCGCGCGCGGATCTACGCGACGAACGCCGCCCTTGTCATGGACGCGCCTGTTTGGGAGCTCAAAACTCCACGTTGTGCCTGCGACGCCCTGCCAACGTCGCACCTGTTCACAGACAGTCGGAACATGGGCTCCAAACGGCGACCGGGAGGAGGAGGAGGAAGAACAGGCGGGGGGGCCTTTCCTCCTCGGTGGACGCGATGCAGGGTCGCGTCGGGCCGCCTCCAGAGGGGGCGCAGTTAAAGGATAGGCGGCGCCACTCTTGAGCTAGTTCGACTGGTCAACGATGCCAATGGCAGCCACCCTCTAGTTCACTAGCGTTCCCTGGTGGTGCACTCGGATATTTCGCGACCGCTACATAATCGCTGAGAGCCGCTCCCTTATTGAACGCGATGGACGCCGCCCTTGTCATGGACGCGCTTGTTTGGGAGCTCAAAACTCCACGTTGCGCCTGCGATGCCTTGCCAGCTTCGCACGCGCTCGAATACAGTTGGAACATGGGCTTCAAACGGAGACCGGGAGGGGAAGGAGGGGGAGGAGGAGGAAGAACAGGCGGGGGGGGTGGGGCCCTTTCCTCCTCGTCTCCCTTCCTCCCTCCCGCGGTGGGCGCAACGCAGGATCGCGCAGGGCCGCCTTCAGAGGGGATGCGGTTATAGGACAGGCGGCGCCACTCTTGAGCTAGTTCGACTGGTCTACGATGCCAATTGCAGTCACCTTCCAGTTTAACTCACGTTCCACGGCGGTGCACGCGGATGTTTCGCGATCGCTACATAATCGCTGAGAGCCGCTCCAGTATTGAACGCGATGAACGCCGCCCTTGTCATGGACGCGCCTGTTTGAGAGCTCAAAACTCCACGTTGTGCCTGCGATGCCTTGCCAACTTCGCACGCGTTCACATACAGTCGGAACATGGACTCCACACGGCGACCCGGAGGAAGAGGAGGGGGAGGGGGCGGAGGAAGAGTAGGCGGGGGGGGGCCCTCACCTCCACGTCCCCCTTCCTCCCTCCAGCGGTGGACGCGACGCAGGATCGTGCCGGGCCACCTTCAGAGGGGATGCAGCTAAAAGGGAAGGCGGTGCCACTCTTGAGCTAGTTCGACTGGTCCGCGAAGCCAAAGGCACTCACCTTCTAGTTCAACTCACGTTCCCCGGTGGTGCACTCGGATATTTCGCGGTCGCTACATAATCGCTGAAAGCCGCTCCAGTATTGAACGCGATGAACGCCGCCCTTGCCACGGACGCGCCTGTTCGGGAGCTCAAAACTCCACGTTGTGCCTGCGATGCCTCGCCAGCTTCGCATGCGTTTACATACAATCGGAACATGGACTCCAAACCTCGACCGGGAGGAGGAGGAGGAGGAGGAGGAGGAGGAGGAGGAGGAACAATAGACAGCAAGGATGGGGCCCTTTCCTCCTCGTCTCCTTTCCCCCCTACTGCGGTGGACGCCATGCAAGATCGTGCCGGGGCCGCCTTCAGAGGGGGCGCAGTTAAAGGATAGGCGGCGCCACTCTTGAGCTAGTTCGACTGTTCTATGATGCCAAAATCAGCCACCATCTAGCTCAACTCACGTTCCCTGGTGGCGCACGCGGGTATTTCGCGATAGCTACATAATTGCTGAGAGCCGCTCCAGTATTGAACGCGATGGACGCCGCCCTTGTCATGGACGCGCTCGTTTTGGAGCTCAGAACTCCACGTTGTGCCTACGACGCCTTGCCAGCTTCGCACGTGTTCACATACAGTCGGAACACGGACTCCACACTGCGACCGGAAGGTGGAGGAGGAGGCAAAAAAAACAGCAAGGATGGGGCCCTTTCCTCCTCGTCTCCCTTCCTCCCTCCTGCGGTGGACGCCATGCAAGATCGTACCGGGGCCGCCTTCAGAGGAGACGCAATTAAAGGAAAGGCGGTGCCACTCTTGAGATAGTTCGACTGGTCTACGATGCCAACGGCAGCCACCTTCCAGTTCAACTCACGTTCCCTGGTGGCGCACGCGGATGTTTCGCGATCGCTACATAATCGCTGAGAGCCGCTCCAGTATTGAACGCGATGAACGCCGCCCTTGTCACGGACGCGCCTGTTCGGGAGCTCAAAACTCCACGTTGTTCCTGCGATGCCTTGCCAGCTTCGCATGTGTTTATACAGAGTCGGAACATGCACTCTAAACGGCGACCAGGAGGTGGAGGAGGAGGAGGGGGAGGAGGAAAAATAGGCGGCGAAGTTTGGGCCCTTTCCTCCTCGTCTCCCTTCCTCCCTCTTGCGGTGGACGCCATGCAAGATCGTACCGGGGCCGCCTTCAGAGGGGACGCAGTTAAAGGAAAGACGGTGCCACTTTTGAGCGAGTTCGACTGGTCTACGATGCCAATTGCAGTCACCTTCCAGTTCAACTCACGTTCCCTGGTGGTGCACTCGAGAATTTCGCGATTGCTACATAATCGCTCAGAGCCGCTCCCTTATTCAACGCGCAGAACGCCGCCCTTGTCATGGACGCGCCTGTTTGGGAGCTCAAAACCGCAAAATTCCACGTTGTTCCTGCGATGCCTTGCCAGCTTCGCATGTGCTTACATACAGTCAGAACATGGACTCCAAATGGCGACCGGGAGGAGGAGGAGGAGGAGGAGGAGGAGGAAGAGAGGAGAAGGACGAAGAGGAGGAGGGAATGGAGAAGGCAGCCCACGGTGATGGACAATATGTAATAAGCGGTCCAGCGGTGCTATACCGCTCGCAACCTTTCCAACCGTAGGTCGAACTGCACATCGACCCTTCAAACAGAGACTTGGAGGAGGAGGAGGAGAAGGAGGAGGAGGAGGAGGGAGGACCAGTGTAAATCCACCGGCCCTGTCGGCGTGTGTGGGGGGCTCTTCCGTTCGACTCGTCCTCTCCGTCATTCGTTCGATCTCCGACACGACCGCCCCTGAGCAAACTTCGGAAGCGTCGTCTGAGCATCGAAGAGGAGACCCTTTCCCGTATTCCCTCCCCCACCGGGAGGGGGGGGGTCCCGGGAGGGGGTGTGGGTGGGGGTCCCGGGGGCTGCACCGGGGTCAAATACGACAGCCTGCCTCGCTGCGGCGACGCAACAAACGCATACAAGTACCCCAGCGACGACGGCGACGGCGGCAGCGGCGGCGGCGGCAGCGACGGCGACGACGACGACAACGATGACGACGACGATGACGACGGCGTCATCCTCCTTCCCCCCCCCCCTCCTCCTCCTGCTCCTCCTGTTCCTCCTCCGCCTCCTCCTCCTCCCCTCCTCCTCCTCCTCCTCCTTCTCCTCCTCCTCCTTCTCCTCCTCCTGCTCCTGCTCCTCCTCCTCCTCCTCCTCCTCCTCCTCCTCCTCCTCCTCCTCCTTCGGCTGCGGTCTCTGCGTGCAGGGATCCGCCCCTGGAGCACACTGCTCCTCGTCCTCCTACTGCTGATTCCCCCCAAAGCCCCACCCTGCCCCTTATCGCCCTCCTCATCCTCCTGCGCATCCTGCTCGTCCTCCTGCTGCTTCACCGCGTCCTCCACGTCCTCCCCCTGCCCCTCCTGCTCTCTGCTGGGACTTCAGCGCCGCGAATCGACGTGACTGTTGCGCCCTGACATTCGTACACCGTGCCAGAACACCACTCATGGGCGTCCAACCGAACGAATTCCCAAAACTGCTGCACTTTCAAACACTTTCAGACAATGCCGACAGGTCTGGGGGTGCGACAGGGTTGACTCATTTATAGGGAACCGGCATTGAGTTTTGAGGAGGAGGACGACAAGGAGGAGGAGGAGGAGGAGGAGGAGGAGGAGGAGGAGGAGGAGGAGGAGGAGGAAGAGGGGGAGGAGGAGGAGGAGGAGGAGGGAGGAGGAGGAGGAGGAGAAGGAGGAGAAAGAGGAGGAGGAGGAGGAGAAGGAGAAGACGGGGAGGAGGAGGAGAAGGAGGAGGAGAAGAAGGAGGAGGAGGAGGAAGGAGATCAGAAGAAGAAGAAGCTGGAGGAGCTGGAAGCAAGAGGAGAAAGGACGAGGCAGGTTGCAGGAGACTGCAGGAGGCAGGAGGGCCGCCCTCAGTCGAGGGACACGAGCTGCTTCGTGGCCCCAGCGCCCTGGGGGGCAGCGGCCGACGCCGCGCCGCCCGCCGCGTAGCTCTGAGGTCCGGCCGTCGTGACCGAGACGAAGATCTGGTCGCGGTCCGTGAGCAGGGACAGGAAGGCATTCTGCACATCGGCGGCCGTCAGCTTTGAGAGCATCGTCTCGATGTCCCGCACGCACGAGATGTCCTTCGGGGCATCGCTCTGCAGGTAGGACAGGAGCGAGATCCACTGCTCGTTGCTCTGCAGGTCCGTCTCGTGCCTGCGCAGGAGCGTCCTGCGCGCGGAGCTCATCTCCAGCTCGCTGATGGGCCGCGAGATCACGCCCTGAAGCACGTCCTTCGCCGCCGACACGGCCTCGCGAATACGCGAGGGATGCGAACTGACCGTGCAGGTGTACCAGCCCGCCTCGAGCCGACTGAGCATGGACAGCTCGAACGAGCAGTCGTAGGACAGACCGAGCGAGTCTCGAACCCTGGAGAAGAGCCTCGTGTTCACAACCTCCCGCATCGCCAGGAGACACATGGAGGGGTACAGTGGGTGGTCCTTGACCGGCGAATTGGGCGTGCCCCAGGAGAAATTCTTCTTCGCCATCACCTCGGAGTGGTGCGCATCACCCTTGCCCCACCGGTTCGGCGCCCCGCCGCCCAGGTTCGCGACGGCACGCTCGTCGCTGTCCTCGATGTGGGCGCTGCACTCGCGATCCTGCTCGGCTAGCTCCTGAGGGCGCCTCACTTCGCGCTTCGCGCTGCGCCAAGCGCGGATCACTTCGCCCTCCCGCGCCGCCCCCCAGTGGGAGAAGGGGAGGATGGTTTTCGAATTCGGCCTTTGACTTCAGAAAGCCAGCTCTTGAATTCAAACAAAACTATGTTTTTAATTCAAAAACTCATTCCTGAACTCCCAAACCAATTGTTTGAATCCAAAAGTGCGGATCACTTCGCCCTCCCGCGCCGACCCCCCGTGGGAGGAGCGGGAGGGCGAGGAGGAGAACCGGAGCCGCACCGCGCAGCGCGTAGAGCGCGAGCCGCTTCGCGCCCCCGAGAGGGCGCCCCATGGCTCCTCGCCCCTGCCGATGACGGGCGCGCGGTCCACGACCGCCTGCTCGGCCTCGCTCGGCGGCACCGACCCCAGGTACCGCCAGAGCGCCTCGTCCAGCTCGAGCAGCCGCCGCTCCTTGGCGGCCGCGAGGGCCTGCGTCTCCACGGCGTCCGCCTCCTGCTCCTGGCCCTCGCGGTGGTGCTTCCCCGTGCTCATGGCGCCCTCGACCTCGGCAACCTTGTGCTGCGTCACGCCCTCGAAGTCGGCCACGAGGTTGATCTCGAAGTCCTCTGCGGCCGGGAAGGGGGAGCGACGGGGGATACGGCCAACCCGTACAACAAGGCTGCGCGGTAAGGATGCACACTGGCCTTGGAGGGCCAGGCTGGCGCTTTTCGAGCGAGGTTGGCCAGCGAAAGTCGCTCCGGATGGGCCGAAGGCAAGGATATGCAAGGGTAGCCTTGGAAAGTTGCGCATCCTTACTGTGCGGGTTGACTGCATGTCGGACCATCTCCCAGGTTCCGCGGTGTTCTCGACCGGATCCGGAACAGCCAGATGAGCTCTGGAACGATCTGCCCCGGTCCTGGGCCTGCCTGCGGGAGGGAAGCGCGGCCCCACGTCCTGCGGCCGAAGCTGGGCGTTCACGGCCCTGCGCACAATGGCCATCGACAACCTGTTGAGGTCGGAGACCTGCGGCTCGGCGACCCGGCCGTTGTTCCTGCAGGAGGATGGGGCGCAGAAGAACACACTCCGCGCGCGCGACGCCCTGGGGGTCGCAGACGCACACACACACATAGCACCAAGTGCAGCGCGAGTCTCGGCTCACACGAAATGAACACGCGCGCGTCGTCGCGCGCATGTTGAAATTCTTCAAACACCCCAGGCTTCGCAAGGAGTTCAAAATCGAGTGTTCCGCACACATTTTAAATGGCATGACTTCGAAACAAGGAGTTTCAAAAGTTTGTGCTCGCCCGCTTGCAAATTCTCAAAAACGGTGGTTTCCAACAAGTTGCTAAAATGCTACCACATGGGCCTCTCGCGCGCGCGTGCTGAAATCGTTCGAACGCCCTTGCGCGCGTGCTGTCGCAAAAACCCCGTGCAACAAAAACGGGACGAAATGCACACGCGGCCATACCGAAGCGTCTCAACAGCTGTAGGTTTCGTAAAGACTTCAAGATCGAGTGCCCCGAAAACATATGAAAACACATGGTTTCGCAACATCAGTTTTAAAAAAAAATTGCGCTCGCGCTCTTGCGAATTCTCCCGGTTTTTCACCATGTGCATTATTATGTTCGGCCGAACGAGCCTTTCAAGCCGCACGTCGACATCATTCGAACGCCCAGGCGCGCGTGCTGGGGGGCACGATCCTTTCCAAAAAATACAATGCCGACCACTCTCGCGCGTCGGCCACGCGCGCACGCCGATCTCACTACAAAACCTTCATCACCGACGCGAGGACGCCGTCATCGTCGCCGGCGTGATCAGCATCGGCGCCGTCACTGGCCGTGCCGTCGCTGTTGTCATCGTCGTCACCATCGTTGCTACTATCATCATCGTGTCTACCGTTGTCGACGTTGCCATGATACCGCGCCCGCCCAAGTGGCCGACTCGCACTGAAGTGCCCGCTGGGAAGTGTCTGGAGGTCAGCGCCACCGCGGCCGCGTCGGTCGCGCCAAACTAACTGGCCTCTGCGCGCGCACACACCAAGCACTCATCGCAATCGCCGCCGCATGCGTTTTGCAAAAAGACAGTGGGTGTGGTTGAGATGATTGCGCGAACAGTGAAGTTGCCAACTGCGAGTTCCAAAGTGAATTGCACAGCATAGAGCTCAGCACATATATTGCACAGCATGTCTGTATTGCACAATACAGACTGCACCACATAGGTTGCACTACATATGTTGCACAGCATGGAAGTGCATAGATAGCAGAACACACATATTTGTATATGTGTGTACACGCGTAGATGTACACATCGATATATATATATATATATATATATATACATATATATATATATATATATATATCGAGAGAGAGAGAGAGAGAGAGAGAGAGACCAACACATACATTACATAACATTGACTGCTAGAAACACACTAGGTGGGGCCCACACTGCCGAACATCATCTTGAGATGAGGCCTCAACAACAACAACAACAACAACCATTTCAAGACTGATCGCTTTTTCTGATACTCGCGTGACACTTCGCCTGTATATCCAAAACCTTCGATACCCGCCCTCTTCGTCCTCGGTCAAATCCCGCTTGGGGGGTGCTGAAGTTCCTTGCCTGCCACGCGTAGTTGGCGCAGCCCCCAACAGGGGGACCAGGGGAAGGCAGAGGGGACAAGGGGGAGGGAGAAGGATGGAGCACGAGAGTTGAGTCCCCAAACGGTGCGGTGACCTCACCGCAGGGTCTTGGGACCTCGGAGGCCTCTGCCGCCCGAGACGCCATCGGAGAGCGACCCGAGTCCCAAGACCGTGCGGCGATCCCGAACCTCCACCGACTCACCACGCGGTGCGGTCACCACACCGCTCGGGGGCCCCCGAGAGAGGGATCCGCAGGAAAGTGCCTGCGGGCACCAAGGCAAGCGGCAGGCCCAGACGGGCGGGGTCGGGCGAGGCGGTCCCCGACGTGCGGGTGGGCGGGGCGCCCCGCACGGCCGGGTCGCGAGCGGGCGGGTCGCTGAAGCGCCAGTGCGAGCAAGTCACCGCCGAGGCAAGTCTCGGGCGATGGCGCGGTTCCGAAGGAAGTCCCGAAGAAGCCCAAAGCAAGAGCGTGAGTCCTGAGGAGAAGGCACGGGATCCCAGGTGACGTGGAGAGAAGTCCACGCGAGTACGGTGCCTGCAGAAACTGTAAGGACGTCCCGCGCGAGAGCGCGACTTTGAAGACATCATAAAGAACTCTCCGGCGGGCGCCGTTGTTGTTGTAGTCTGAGGGCCAGCAATACAATCTGAGCCTCAAGACTCGGATAAAAAAAAACATGTGAGAGCCCCAGGAGGGGCACGTCAGATGAAAGAACACAATGGGCACCGGAGCGGGAGATCAACAATAGTTATCCTTTGGCAATGAGAAGTCCGCAATCATAACCACAAGCAGAATCTCCACGAGGGAGAGAACAGGGGGGGCATCGCCACGGAGGGATGCACGCAACAGAGCCTGCTGGCACAACTTTTGGACCGCTCGGCGGCGCGAGAGGCCCGCTGACAGCGGAGCAAGCAAGGCGACTGACCTGCCGCGCGGCAGAGCGCACAGTCGGGCTGCTGAAATAAGGAACGCTAAACAAGGAACAAGGCCCCTGTTTAGCACCGAAAGAGCCTGGATGCACGAGGATGGCTAGAGGAGCAGCCACGGGATGATCTGAGGAACCGCGAGCCCCTCCCGAACCCAAAGCGGTCCTTGTTTCGGAGTCTTGGCTGCACACCGAAGCCCGCTTCTCGCAGAGCTGGCGCGCGCGCGGCGGGGAGCGCCGCCCTGCCGAGGGGAGGACCTCCGCAACGGCCGCGGCGCTGCCCCTGACGATCACTGGCAGCAGAGGAGTGACAACCTGCGCGGCACGAGCGCCGCGCGTGTGCCGCCGAGCTGCCGCGAGGCCTGCTAAGGCCTCAGGTTGCGCACAGGCAACCCCCCCAGGCAGCCCCGGCTGGTCCCAGCAGGCCCCCACGAGTAGCCCCAGCCGGCCGCAACAGGATCACCGAATAGCCCGGGGCAGTCTCAACACCGCGGAAGGGGCGCGGAGCGCCCCGGGGGCGCCGCTGGAGGGCGGCGCTGCGGTGTTGACACCGTCCCGGACTACTCGGGAGGCCTGTTGAGGCCAGCTGGGACTACTCGTGGGGGCCTGTTGAGGCCAGCCGGGACTATCTGGGGGGACTGTCTGTGCGCACCCCAAGGCCTTACCAATGGGGCCCCCGCCAGCGGGTCCCCCCCCCGGCGGTGCCAGAACCAAGGCCGCCGCATGGACCTGCTGGCCGGCCAAGGGCGGGCGCGGCCGAGGAAATGGTAACGTCAGTGGGAGGAGGACGCTCAACGCCGGCAGTGAACGGAAGCGCCCTCGGGCGCTCCTCCAGGTGAGCCGGCGGGCGCAACGATGTTGTTCTCATACGCGAAGTCAACTGAAGGTTCATTCGCCTGGTCAGCATTGACCCGAATGGCGCGGCAGCGGTGCACAGGAAGCGCTCCGTGCATGAGCAGTCTCGAAATGAGGAGGAGGAGGAGGAGGAGGAGGAGGAGGAGGAGGAGGAGGAGGAGGAATGGAGGAGGAGAAGATGGAAGTGGAGGAACAGGAGAGGAAAGTGACAGCGTCGAGCAGCTTTGCGTTTAAACCCCTGGCAGCCTCAAGCGGCCAGCACTGGTGGGGTCAAGATGTTGACCTCAACCAACTCATGCGTGTATTCCGAGGCGGGGCCCGTGTTGGGCGCCTCGGAATTGTGTAGGCGATGCTGTTATCAAGAGTAACGCACTGGGCAGCAAGCGTGGAGCGCGACATTGAGGCGTGGCTTGTCCATACTTTATGCACTGGGACGTCGCCCTTCGTGCATGTCGCAAGGTCATGGAATGAAGGTTATTATCTGGTAAACGATGTATGAATGTATATCCCGAGCGTCAGGCGATGCTGGCCTCAGACGATGCTGGAGCTAGACCCCTGCCAACTCTCCGGCCAGCCACAGCAAACTCTCTGGCCAACCTCCGCCAACCTCGGCCGACACCGACCAACCCCGTCCAACCCCTCCGACCAACCTCTCCGGCCAGCCCCTCCAGCCACCCCTTTCGGGCAACGCTTCTGGCCAACTCCTCCGACGGGTCTCTGCAACTGGTGCTTGCGCTCCTGCTGCCGTTGTATGGCGGCGGCAGCGCCGGCGATATGCCGCTTGACTCACGACAGTGCGGTCCGCTCGTCGGCGTCGTTATGGGCGCCCCATGGAATCTTGTAATGAAGACATCGGGTGCAAGATCAAGGTGGTAGAAAGGTAAGTAAGACGTGCGCGAAGAAATATCAACAAATAGAACATCGTGACGGAGAAAAAGATAAAACGAGAGGAACAAACATACTGGGGCTAGACTGACCGTGCAAGGCTGGTTTCCTGTACATCAACTTCATCAATCGATCCATGGTGCTCTTCTCCATGGACTTCTCCACTGAGTACGCCTGCGCCTTGTATGCCTCGGAAGCTGCCATTTTCGGCAAACAGACACGGCACTTCGTCACCGAAGCGCGCACCCACAAACAAATAAACGAGGACGTGAGTCACTATATCAATGATCTGGCCACCTGCCAGAGGCGCTATCAAAATACGTGCTCGACTTTATCACAAATGTCCCCGATGGTCTTCAGAGAAGTTCAGCGGAACGGGTGCTCATCTTGTAAGACAGGATCACGTGGGGCCACGCATCGGGGAGGCAAGGCAGGACCTTTTGAAAGAACGCGCTTTGCGGACGCTTGCTTCGAAAAAGCCTTGGGCACGTCGGCACCAGGACGGTGGGGCGGCCCACAACGACCTCTCTAACTGGGAGGGCCCCCCCCTTCTGGACGGGGGGGCTCGAACCGGGAACCGCACCCCCCTCTGACTCTTCCTGTACAAGGGGGGAGACGCCCCCCCATTCTCCCCTGGATAGAATCCTATACGTGCTCGGTCAAGCTCTGCTGGAAGCCTACTACAGCTGGACAAAACTTGAACAGCATCCCAGCCGGGCTCGATGCAAGGCTACTGGAATCCTCACACAGCTGGATCCAGCTCTGCCTGAATCCCCCCAGCGCGCGATCCGTCTCCACTGGAAGAATCCGACAGCCGCGAAATCCAGCCCCCCCTTGCACCCTACCACGGCTCGACCCAGCCCCAACAGAATCCCACCAGGGCTCGATCCAGCCCGAGTAGCCCCATACGCAGGCTCGCTCGCCGTCGTCGTCGTCGTCCTTGCCCGACGGCGAGGGCACCGCCGCTGGCGCTCGCCGCCGTCGGCTGCCGCTGGGCAGGGAGGGGGCGGGGCCCCGCTCCCGGCTCGAATCTCCCCCCTCCCTGCAGTTCGGGGGGGGCGGCTGCCCCCCCCCCCTGGTGCGAGCCCCCCTCGGCGACACGCGGGAGTGACCCTGGGCACGACCGCCTACCAAGCCACCCCAGCCAAGCCCGAAGACCCGAATCTCGGGTTGGGGGGGGGGGGGGGTACGGGCTCCGTCCATGTTTTCGCAACGTTCCCCGGTCCCCCCCCCCCCACACTGGATACCGAGGGTAGATTTGGGCCTTCGGGTTGGGTTGGAGTGGTTTGGTGGGTGGTGAGGGTAAGAGCGACCTTTGGTGCGCGGCATCTGGGGGGGCGCGGGGGGCCCAAACACAGGCGCGCAAAATGCTAACATCGCGTCACGCTCGGCGACCCGGGGACCTCGGTGGGCCCGCACGAAAGGTCGGTCCGCCGAAGGGCCGCTCTTACACGTAGAGTCGAACCCCCCCCTCCGCTTTGAGAGGCCCACCCCCCTCTGGTTCGACCCCTCTCCCCCGCCCATTGCGTTTCAGGGGGGGGGATATTCGAATCCCCCCACCTCACAGCGTCCACTGAACGCGCTCTTTCGAGCGGAGTTCTGGAGCAAATAGCACGCCGACGCCTGTGGGCGTTATGGGCCTGATCGTTAGTGGACCCTTGCCTGTACTCCTTCCTTGACGCAATAACAGAGATTCATGCACATGGGGCGCAGGAGCGCATGCAGCGGTATGCGAGCACATGCACATGATGAGCATGCGTCGTGAGTTGCGTCGCGTCATGTGCAGGCCCGCGGCTTCCCATCAATGCAAACCCTCAGCCCTATGCCTCCCAAGCAAGACCCAAACAAGGATCGCACGTCATGTCAAAGCATACTGCACATTCATCACTGTATATTCCCACTACGACGATAGAATGCGAAACACTACTTCGCGGCGTGGTGCAATCTAGCGTTGAGTAGCCCATACAGCACAATCGCACGATACACTACAGCACAATAGCAGCCATTGCGTTGCGAGGGTGAGCGTGGGTCGGGCACCTCCATTGCCTTACAATAGACGTCTCCTTTCGAAATAGTCAAAGAGGATACCTCCCGCACAGAAGCTAAGAGTGCCTCGCACTTGGCCTCGCACATGAGCCGTTGCTTCCAAAGGAACAGATCTCACTGTACATCGCCATGGCTAACACTTACCAGGCCACCTATCTGTCGCCAACGACGAGGCCCCGATATGGACGAAGACTACGCCAAGACGAGCCCAGCACTGCAAAAGAAGCCCCAAACGCTCTCCCAGCTGGCTTCAAGACCGGCCAAAACAGCCCCAAGGTCACCAGGCGCCCCCAAGAAAACTCCAAGACCCCAAGCAGATCCCACACATGCCCCTCAGGTCTCCGAGGCTCCCAACCAGGTATTCCAGCAGGCCCGCGAAAGGCCAAATATTGGCCAACTGAGCAATACGATACGTTGCCTTCTACCCTGGAAGGCCCTGCAAAGTCTCCAGAAGACCAGTCTGCCCGAAACAGCTCCCCTGCAGTCGAGGCAGCCTTCTGGTAGGCACCAAAGAAAGTCTTAGACTGCCCAGACAAGTAAGCACCCCACACCTGCATCGAGGCCCAGCAGACGCCCGCATTGTCCAGGCACCCTATAAGCCCCCCAAGAGACACCCAAAATGCCCCAGAAACATGCACAGACATATTCTCCCACAATGGCACCACACCCTAGATGCTCATATACAACTACATGCTACTACAGCATCTCTTCGCTGCTTCCCCAAACGCGGTAACACATGTGCGCGGAGGCGCAACTGGAAGTTGGGCTCCACTTAATTGCGCTATGCTATGCCTCTGAAACGCCTCCCAGCATGGACAGGTTGACGCAGCACTGCCACTCTCGATCGCGAGCACTCTGCTGGCCTGGCGTTACCCAGCGATGCGCCATTTACCTTCGTAGCCAGTACTCTTAGAGATTGCAAGCAGTCCTGAGAAGGGGGGGCCGTCTTTCGAGAGGCCTCATGCAGAAAAAATGCTTCGCTCGGCCCGTGGCAGGAAGTGCCGGCGGCGCCTGCTGAGCGCGAACGAAGGCCGGCAGCTCCCACCGCGGCTCTGTGAACAGGAGGTGCAGCAACTCGAGGACGGCCACCAAGCCTCCCCTCCTTTCCGACACAGCCAGTGCCAACATCAGCACAACCCACCGCGGTGAGCTTAGCGGGCGCGTCTGAGAGCCAGCGTGGATGCCTTGATGTACTGCTGGAACTCGGAACTGAGGGCTTCTTAGGGGTGCTTACTGAGGCTGCGGATTCCTATTCGTGGCGCTTACAGTGAGGAATGCGACCCGTCGAGAATTCGTGAATCGTGCTGACTCGGGAGGACTGGGTTACCCCATAACCTCCGCTTTCCCCCGCCCCGCACCGCAACCCATCGCCCCTGACACGGACGCTTCCAGAGCCAGAAGCCAAAAGCAGGCCGACAGCTGAGCCAGACGCATGCGTCCGGGATCCATGCCCGGCCTGTGCCAAAGACGTACGGCCTCTACCACCTCAGCCTTGTCCATGACCACCTCCTCACCCTCCTACTCTCCTCGTCAGCAATATTTCCGCTTATCCTCCCCCTCCTCAACCTCATCATCATCATCATCATCATCATCATCATCATCAGCATCAGCATCATCATCATCATCATCATCATCATCATCATCATCATCATCATCATCATCATCATCATCATCATCATCATCATCATCATCATCATCAGCATCATCATCATCATCATCCTCCTCCTCCTCCTCCTCCTCCTCCTCCTCCCCCTCCTCCTCGTCCTCCTCTTCCTCCTCCTCCTCCTCCTCCTCCTCCCTCCAAACCCTCCTCCTCCTCCCCACCTCCCCATTCCACATCTACCTCCACTCCGCCTCCTCCCCCCTCCTCCTCCTCCTCCTCCTCCTCTCCTCAACTCCTCCACTTCCACCTCCTCCTCCTCCTCTTCCTCGTCTCGTCATCCCTCCTCCTCCTGTTCCTCCCCCTCCTGCTCTCCTCCTCCTCCTCCTCCTCCTCTGTTCCTCTCCTCTTGCTCTCCTCCTCCTGCTTCCTCCTCCTCCTCCTCCTCCTCTCCTCCTCCTCCTCCTCCTCCTCTTCTCCTCTTGCTCCTCCTCCTCCTCCTCCTCCTCCTCCTCCTCCTCCGCCTCCAGCTCTCCTCCCCTGCCCTCCGCCTCCTGCTCTCCAGCTCTAAGCCTCCCATCCCTCCTCGTCTGCTCTCTCCTCTCCTCCTCCTCCTCCTCCTCCTCCTCCCCTCCTCCTCCTCCTCTCCTCCTCCTCCCTCCCTCTCCTCCTCCTCCTCCTCCTCTCCTCCTCCTCTCCTCCTCCTCATCTCATCATCATCATCATCATCATCATCATCATCATCATCATCATCATCATCTCATCATCATCATCATCATCATCATCATCATCATCATCATCAGCATCATCGTCACCATCATCAGCATCATCATCATCATCATCATCATCATCATCATCATCATCATCAGATCATCATCATCATCATCATCATCATCAAATCTCATCATCATCTCATCATCATCATCATCATCATCATCAGCAGCAGCAGCATCATCATCATCATCATCATCATCATCATCATCATCATCATCATCATCATCATCATCATCATCATCATCGTCATCGTCATCGTCATCATCAGCATCATCAGCATCATCATCAGCAGCAGCATCATAAGCATCATGATCATCGTCATAACCATCATCATCAGCATCATCATCAGCATCATCGTCAGCATCATCATCATGATCATTGTCATCTTCATCATCAGCAGCATCATCATCAGCATCATCATCATCATCAGCATCATCAGCATCATCAGCATCATCATCAGCATCATCATCGTCATCATCATCATCAGCATCATCACCACGACCACCGCCACCACCACCACCATCATCATCATCATCATCATCATCATCATCATCATCATCATCATCATCATCATCATCATCATCGTCAACCTCATCAGCATCATCATCATCAGCATCATCAGCGTCAGTAGCATCATCATCATCCACTTCATCCTCGTCAGCAGCATCATCAGCAACATCACCATCAGCATCATCATCAGCAGCATCATCATACTTATCATCATAGTCCTCACCATCATCAGCATCATCAGCATCGTCATTGTCATCATCATTTCCAGCATCCTCATGTTCATCATCATTGGCACCATTAGCATCAGCATCATCATTATTGTCATGACCATCACCATCGTCAGCATCATCAGCATCAGCAGCAGCATCATCATCAGCATCAGCATCCGCATCACCATCAGCAGTATCAGTATCAGTTTCATCATCGTCATCATCACCACCAACATCATAATCAATAGCATCATCATCAGCAGCAGCATCATCAACAGGATCCTCCTCCTGATTATGCTGCTGCTGCTGCTCTCATCCTCCGCTCATCCTAAGCCTTCGCCTTATCGCTCTTCTCGCCATCACCGCCTCCTCTTCGTCGTCCTCTTCATACCTCCCCCTCCTCCTCCTCCTCCTCCTCCTCCTCCTCCTCCTCCTCTTCCTCCTCCTCTTCCTCCTCCTCCTCTTCCTCCTCCTCCTCCTCCCCCTCCTCCTCCTCTTATCCTCAGCCTCCGCCTCCTCGCCGGCCAGCCGGGACACCCGCAGCCGTCGACCGGCAGGCGCACAGCGCGACGCAGCGAATTAGCTAGCAGCGGGCAGCAAAGACCGGGCCGCCGAGAGGAGCAGAGCCCGGCCGCGACGAGGGAGAGCACACGGGCAACAGATTCTTAGGTCGGGCGTGTCCCCCTACAGGCGGACATTGGGCGGAAAATTTTAGAATAGTCAAAACAAAGTCCAAAATGGCGGAAAAGTCTGCAAAAATAGTCCCCAGGCTAGTCTTTGAATATTGTCCAACACTCCTCCTGTAGAGGGACAGGCCGACTTAAAGCTAGCAGCGGGCGGCCAAGACCAGGCATCCGAGAGGAAGAGCACACGGACAACATATTCGGACCCTCACGCACTTGAGCCCTGAGATCCTGGCGCCTCACCTCTTTCGAGCCGGGCGGTTTCGCTCTCTGTCGGGCCCCGGGACCCTCACAGATCGATCCGGGCTCGGCTCGGAACGGGACGCAGAAAGATGTGGTCTGGGGCTGCGGCCGTGATTTCTACGATGTTACAATCTTTGCTGCCACGTCGGATCTCGGGAAGGGGGATGTTCATCACCCTCGGCAGGCCCCCGAAATTGACGTTGGTTTTAGCATGGGAGGCGGATTGGGAGTTCGGATACTTCTGTCCACTCATGCTCTCTCCATTGCTGCTTATGATTTGTTTGGGTCTGGGGGGGGGTTCTTGCGCCGCAGGGTTCGAACTTATTGGAAATGTACGGCACGTGCGGGGTGGGGGTGCCCTTCCAGTGCGGGCAGAGGCCTCTCTCGAGCCCCATCCCTCTCCCGACGAGCTCGCCGTCGCTGCGCATGACAAAGAAGATCGGCATCCGAGGACGGCACGCTCAAGCCCCAAGCCTGGGGTCCTGAGGGATGGGGTCCTAAGGTCGCGGTGGTCCACACAGCGGGAATCCACCGTCGGAGCCCTTCCTATCCTTCGGCCCCCATCGCTCAGGACCCTATCTGCGAACCGCACGGCCCCGGCCCTCCCCCGCGGCGGCGCCGTTGTCGCCCAGCGTGAAAGAGGAATCCACGTAGGAGGACTCCAGGTTCAGGTACGCCCGGCCCCCGGGGGGGCCGCCCCCCGCGTGAGGCGGCGTTTCCTCCTCAACCCCCCCCGCGCCCCTGAGCCAGAGGAGGAAGACACACTGGCACCGATGCTCCCCCTCCTGGGGGGGCAACCATGGGAGGGGACGAAAGGGTAGGGTAGCAAAGGGTAGGGCAGAGAATCAGCTCACGCAGCCAGTTTCCCTGTCGCCTGGCGCCGGGAGGCGCCCATGCAGCAGATTTCGGAATCCCCCCTTTCCCTTTCTCCCCCTGTCGTTGGGCCCGAAGCAGGGTACCGATACCGCCACTCGCCGTACATCTCTCGGGGTACGCTCCGACCAGGATATTTCGAGGATAACCCAGGCGTGGCGACGAGGAGTCTCCAGGACGAGCAGCGGTATCAACACCCTTCCCTCATGTGACCTCCCCTTGTCCCCCTCTGGCTTCCCAGGGGAGGCGGCGGAGAGGGGGGAGCGCATCGGCAACTGTCGGCGTGCTTGACCCCGCTAATTGGTGCCGCCCGGCGCCCCACGAGGAGTACTGGCGGGCGCCCCTGGTGGTTCCGCCAGCCCTTGTGGCGCCCGCCAAAGTGGGCTGGCGGGCTTCCGGGCCCCGTGACTGGGGACTTTGATAAACCAGGACGTCCGTCTCGAGCGGTCGGAGGCCCGTCGCGGCGAGGGCGTCAACATCCTTCAGAAAGCAGGGAAAGCAACGTCCTGGGCAATCGAACGCCGTGGGCAAACTCGCGTCGTGGACGCTGGCGTGCCCCTGAAGACTGCAACCCGTCGGCCCCTCTCATGGTTTGCAAGACCCTGGTGTCCTGGGCCCCGGAAAGTGCAGAAGCGCCAGTCCGCCAGGTCCGTGGCCAGGCTGCGGCGCACGGGCAGGGCCGAAGGGGGCCGACCTACAGGGCGAGGCCGTGCAGTGCAGAGTCGGCAGGGATTCCGCGCGACCGCTGGCTGCTCGCGGGCGGCATCCACCGGCCACGCGCGGCATCGCCCCCACGGAGGGCCGCAAGATGGCCCAAGAGCGCCCTGAGATGTGCCAGGAGGGCTCCAAGACAGCACCGAAAGAGGGGAACCCCAGAGGTTTCCGAGGCGGCACCGCACGCCCCAAAGGAATCCCTACAACGACCCGAAATGGTCCAAACTATGTATGAGCATTATGTGTATGTATGTATGTGTGTATGTATATATATATATATATATATATATATATTATATATATATATATTCCTATAATTATACATCCTGCATGGAAATACTCCCCCCGGATGCGCCCCCCCCCCGGGCAAGGCCAGGGCCCATATCGGACGGCCTGCCCTTTGCCCAGGGTACCTTGCGGACAGCCCCCCGGGCTTCCCCGGCCTCCAATTGGCCCCAGGACGGCAACAGCTCGACCCAACAGCCTCCCAGCAGACGTTCAAGGGGGCCGCGAGATGCAACGTTCTGTAATTTCGATTAGGCGCCTGATGAAGTGTAGCGTCTTCGTTTTCCTGGCATCCTGTATACCGCGAACGCCCCACGAGCTTCCGAGATCGCCCCAAGACGGCCCAGGCCACGGGCCCGAGACGACCAAAGACGGCACCAACACGGCCCAAAAAGCTCCAGAGGCAGCCCCGCGACGGCCAGAGAGATCAACGTGACGGCCCGAAACGGCCCCAAAACAGCCCACGAGGACTCCGGCTAAGGAGGGCCCCGAAACGGCGCACGAGGCCCCCAAACCGCCCAAGAGGCCTCTAACAAGCTTCCAAAAAGTCCCCTAGACCACCTACACAGCCCAACAGGCCCACCTCCTCCTTTTTTTTTCTGGACGCCTCGTTGCATTGCACTGCCCACGCAAGCGCGACCTCGAAGACGAAGGACAAAAGTCGAAGATTTGGAAGCCAGCGATCTGATCAACGCGACTCGTCGGGCATGTGGGACGTTCCGCATATCCTGCATAAACCTCGACGCCCACACTATCACGACCAAGACCCCAATTGCGGTTACCACCTTCGCCCCTTCAAGATTATCACCGCGGCACCTCCTCCACCGAATTCCTGACAGCCCCTTTTTCCGATCATGACTTGTGCCCCGTACCACAGCGATGACATTAACCTCCAGAGCCTCCACCAAGGTACGTTGTGACTGTGGCCCCTTTCGGATCGTGACCTTCACCCCCCCTCGCGTCCAGGCCCCGTTGGGCCATGACCTTCGCCCCGGTGGCGGCCATGACGTACGCCCCCATCGACCTCATAGTCGCCACCTCAAGTGGGATAGTGGCATACCCCGCCATCGAGCTCCTCACATTCGCCCTCGTGGCAGCCCTGCCCTGCCTTCACGGCATGAACATGCCGATGGGCTCCACCCAGCCAATGACACGCACCCCCCTCGTGGTCATGATCTTCCCGCACCGATGTGACCTTCGGCAGCCATCCGGCAATGCTTGGACGCAGGACCAAGATTTGAGGCGAAGCGAAGCGAGCCGTCGATTCTTGTATGCATAATCAAATACAAATGTGTATACATTTGTCCGGTCAGAGAACGTGCTTCGCCCGTCGCGGCGGTGGCCACGGCGGCACGCTATGTCCTGTAAGCGGATAGTGTATCGTTCCGCTCCGCGTGGTGGGAAGCTGGGGAAAGCTCGGGACATTGACGTTTGGGAACTGGGGCGCGGTTAGCGGTTAGCGTGTCGCGCCACAGTGTGGTGGACCAGAGGTAGCGACGCGACACGCGAAGCAAACGCGCCCGACTGTAAATATACGCGCACGATGAACGAATATGTGTGTACACATTCAGAATTAGATTTCTGAACACAATCAGATATGCAAATACTAACGAACTCACCTGATTCAATTGGTGTGTGTGTGTCTTCCAAACAGTTCGGCTCAAGATGACTCCAAGAGGGGCCTCGGAGAAGCGAAAGGCAACGCAACCATTGACCGGCCTGACAACGTACCAAGACGGCCCAGGACGGCTTCGCGAGGGCCCCAAGACAGGGGCCAAACACTACCCAAAAGGGCCCCAAAACCTCCCGAGAAAATAACGAAACGGCAACAAAAGAAAGCCATCGATTTTGAACATGTGAACCCCAAGAAGGAGGAGGAGGAGGAGAAGGAGGAGGAGGAGGAGGAAACGGAGGAGGAGGAGGCGGAGGAGGGGGATGAGGAGAAGAAGGAGGAATCGGGGTGGAAGGCGAAGATGAGGAGGAAACGAAAATGCAGCATGCGTTCTGCCAGGGACGGCGCAGGGTGGGGGGGGGGGGGGCGGCATACCGCCTGCCGCGCGCAGGCCCACCGCCCCGTCCCAAAGCAGATGCAGTGTGATCGTGGACGCAGGCCCGCACGCGGCGCACAATGCTCGCAGGCCCGCCGCCACTTTGCGCTGGTGTTCGACGGGGGCGGTCGGAGGGTCGACGCGTTGCCCACAGGGCGCGCGTGGCGCCGCTGGCGTGGCACCTCGCGGGCTTCGCGCGCCTGGCTGGCGTCTGCACTGGCTCCCGATGGTCGTCGACGGCGGCCCCCGTCCCATGCTGAGACTTGGGCGTAAGTTATGTGTCGATGGGGGGGGGCGGCTGGCAGTGAGCCAGACGGTTTGTTGCTTGCGGGCAGCCTGACCCCCCACCCCCACACACGCACGTGCGCATGCACGCACGCACACACGTTCTGCATTGGCGGCTGGGCAGAGGGTGACTGCTCTGGCGATCTGGCATCAGGGGGCAAATTCATGCCGCGATGCACGAGGGAAGAGGAGGAGGCACCGGCGCGACGGGGAGAGGGGAAGCCGGGCCCGCTCAGGCAAGTCATTGGCTGCGGCAGGGGGGGGGCCGAAGGGGGGGACCAGCAGCGGCGCTGGGCAGCAGCTGGGGGGGGACGGCAGCCCAGCGGCGGCCGGCAGGCCATAAGGGGGAGCAGCACATGCGAAGCGAAGACCACACCAAGGGGGAGCCGGCAGAGCTGACGGTCCCAGGGATGGGCCAAAGCGCCGAGACCCAGGGGCCTATGAGGCGCAGCGGGAAGCGTGAGGGGCTGAGCGCAGGCTGCCGCGAGAGCGCCGCGCAGGGCGGCAACCGCAGGCCGGCGTGAAGGCAGGGGACGGAAGGCAAAGAGGCGGAGCCACACCAAAAGGGGGAGCGGCGTGAAGCTGGGAGTGCCAGCAGGTGGGAGGGCGGGCGGACCCAAGGATGGGCCGAGCGCCAAGACCTGGGGGCCTACGAGGCGCGGCGAGAGGCGAAAGGGCGGAGCGCCGGGAGGCCGAGTGCGCCGCGATGGGCGCGGCAGGCGCCGGCCGGCGGGCAAGCGGTGAACGAAGGCGAATAGAAAAAGCCACCCCAAGAAGGGGGGGGGCGGCGCGGGGCTGGGAGCGCCAGCTGGGCGGGGCGCGCGCCGAGACCAGAGGGCCTACGAGGCGCGGGGGCCAGAGGGCGGTGCAAGGCGCCGCAAGAGTGTGGCAGCGACCCGCTCACCCGTAAGCGGTGAATCGTCAAGAGGCTGGCCTGAAAAGCAGGCAGGGAGAGCGGGGACCCTGGCCAGGGGCAGCCGGGGTCACCCGGCCGGCACAAGGCACGCCCCCTGCTCCCCTCCTCCCCTTCCTCCTCCTCCCCTTCCTCCTCCTCCTCCTCCTCCTCCTCCTCCTCCTCCCCCTCCTCCTCCTCCTCCCCCTCCTCCTCCTCCTCCTCCTCCTCCTCCTCCTCCTCCTCCTCCTCCCTCCTCCTCCTCCTCCTCCCCCTCCTCCTCCTCCTCCTCCTCCTCCTCCTCCTCCTCCTCCTCCTCCTCCTCCTCCTCCTCCTCCTCCTCCTCCTCCTCCTCCTCCTCCTCCTCCTCCTCCTCCTACACATACATACACACACGCGGCCCACGGACCAGGGCGGGGGGCTTCGCGACCCATTGGCACGCCCAACCAGGCCTCGGCGAAAGGGCACGAACTGCGCCTTGCCCTTCAAGATGCTGGGCCGATCGACGCGGCCGCGGGGTCGAGGCCCAGAATCCAGGCCGCGAGGGCGCGGATGCGGATGCGTTCGCCGCGCGTGGCGGCGGCGTGGCCCCCCCCCGCTCGCAGGGGGCCGCGGCTCCCCCCGAGGCGCGCCCCCGCTGCTGCCTCGCGTGCACCTGGCAGTGCGCCCGGCTGGGGAGCGAGCCCCGTCTGGGGCGGGCCTGCACGTGTGCAGCGCGGCCGTCCACCTCGGCTGGTCTCTGCGACCTTGCCGCCTGCGTTGCCCTAAGGGCAGGCCCCGCTGCTAGCGGAAGTCTGGCCCGAGGAGATCCGCCTCGACCGTGCTTCCTTCTTCAGTTTTCAAGCTCCTCCGACAGTGAGGAGACAGAGGATACGGGGAAGAAGGAGGAGAGAAAGAACGATGAAGAGGAGGGGAAGGAGCAGGAGGGTAGAAGGACAGAAGGGTGATGAGGAGGACAGAGAGCTTACTAAGCCACACCACACCAAACAGACCGAACAGACCAGACACCAGACGAAGACTACTGTACATCAGACCAGACAGATCAAACAGCCTAGAGTGGTTCGAGAGGGCCCGAAGGCCGCCAGAGTGCTGAACACGATCAATAGATTGCCCCGTCAGCCTGTACTCACGCGAAGCGCGGTGTATCGAGGTGGACGCTCATGCCGTTGGAGATGGCGAAGAGCTCGATCTGATCACGTGCGAAGTCGCTCACAGCGCCTCGCGGGCTGGCGGGAAGCTGCGGGGACGGAGGAGGGAAGGAGAGGGGAGGAAGCGGGAAAGAGAAAGAGAGAGAGAGAGAGAGACAGGGCGCGCCGAGGGCGAAGGGAGGACGGAGGGAGGAGGTATTGGAAAGGGAAGGGAAGGGAAGGGAAGGGAAGGGAGGGAAGGGTGGGAGGAGGGAGGACGATGCACGAGGCGAGAGGGGGTCTGTGGTGCGGGGCCCAAGCTTCGCCGAGACATGCTCTCTGGTACCAGCCTGCGGTCGCGCCCTGCTTCCCCGCTGGCCCCTCTCCTCGCCTCCTTGCTCCCCTCCCCGCCTCCTTCCTCTTCCCCCGCCCCCGCGGGAACCCAACCGCAGGGTGAAGGTGGGCGTGCCTGAGCAAGCTCGTCATTCACATGCTCATGAAAAAGCTCTGGCCCGCTTCGCCTCTGTCATGCTTCTGTGCATCTTTGAAGTGAAACTGTGCAACGCTACAGTTTCCCCTCAAAGGACCTTTACGGTAACCTTACGGTTGGGAACCTTTGCATAGCGTGTCGCTCCAGCGGCCCCAGCGACACGCTATGCCCTGCGAGTGCATAGCGTGTCGTTCCGCTCCGCGGGGCGGGAAGCTCGGAAAGGGTCGGGACGTTGACGCTAGGGTGCTGGGAATTGGATAGCATGTCGCTCCAAAGCGCGGTGGGCCAGAACCGGCGGAACGACACGCTATCCAAAAGTTCCCTACCGCAGCCGTGCAACGCCTGTGGCGTAGGGCAACCGTACGTCCGCATTTGAGGTCGTTTGAAAAGCAACAGAAGTACCCCTGACACTTTGGGACGGGACCTGAGTCAGGAGGGCCGAAAGCATCGGGGATAGGGGGTCTTCTGGTGCAGATGCACCGAACGGCACCACCCATGTGTTTAGGAATATGCCCCCCGACAAGAACTGGAGCCTGGACCAAACTTAGGAAGGCCAAACACATGTGGGACAAAGGGTTTTCCGTGCAGACGCTTCGAACGGAACCACCGATCTGCTCCGGGACATTCAAAAAACGGTAACCTGAGGTAGGTCACGACTCCGTTGCGTTGTTCAGATCCGTGGCTGTACGATGCTTAATTGGAGGCCTCCTAGATGGGGTCCGACAAGCTAGGGTCGAAGGATCGCGCCGCATCGCCGATGCATCACCGATACATTGACGATGCATCGACGATGCATCGACGATGCATCGGCGACGTCAGCGGTGCATCGGCGACGCCGGCGTGGAGAAAACTGGACTCCACATCGAGCCGCATCGCCGATGCATCGGCGATGCGGCGCGATCCTCGGACACCGTCTACTTGCACCCCATCTGGGAGGCCTAGAGTTCTTAAGATTCTGGGTTGTACGATGCTTAATGGTCTTTTGGTGGTGCCGGCGCCACCGATGGGAGCTGGCGAGACCTAAGACGAAGCCAGGACGGGGAGCAGATCGGGGGAAGATAAATCGGGGATCTCTGAGATCCGGCGGCTCCAGAGGATGTATCGGGCGCCGCGGCCTTCTCGGAACGAGCTGGAACGCTCCGAGAGCGGTCCAGGACGCTCTGGAACGGATCTCTCTTCGTCCTGGCCGCGTTCGCTCTCCCCTCTCTCGCCCCCCTAAAACAGGGCTAGGATCGGGATAAATCGCTCCAGAGCGTTCCGGAGCGCTCTCAGAGCGTTCCGGAACGCTCTGGAGCGGCCGCGGCGCCCGATACATCCTCCAAACCCGCCGATTCTCAGAGATTTCGAGTTATCCCGATCCGATTTTGTCCCGATCTTCGCGTCGTTTTGCCCCCCCCCGCCCCCCTATCCTACTCGCGATCTGCCCTCGTCCTGGGCCCGCCCGAGGGCCCTCCGACGGAGGCCGCACCGCGGCCGCGGCCCCGCCCGCAGGCCACCCGAGCGAGGTGCTCTCGCGGCCGGCCGCGGATTTGGAGTACTCTGAGGGCCCGTCAGGCCTTCGCTTCCCCGATGCGCAACACGCAACACGTGGCGTGCTGATGCCCAACCCCCCCCGCGTTGTGAAGAAATCGCGACGGAGGTTTCGGAACAGTTTCGGCCTCCTGGCGCCCTCTGCGGGCCCCGGGACCGTCAAAAACGACTCAGGATGAAAGACCGGTCCCTGGGAAGGGCTCCAGACCTCTGGGGGTTCGGGTACGGAAGCCCATCCCGTGGGCTGGAAACCCAGGTCTGAGGCGATACGCTCGCCTTGAGCACGAGAGGTGTTGCGTTCCAAAACGGGCGTATCGAGGCAACTGAGCCTCGGGCACGCAGCGGTGACGCCGGGGCAGCGAGGGCCCTGCTCCGAGGGCCCTTCGGGGGGGCCTGCTCCGAGGGCCCTTCGGGCACGCAGCGGTGACGCCCGGGCGGGGGACGGAGCCCGACTGGACGGGGGTGCGCTGCGGTCGCCACCGCGTGCGCGCGAGCACCGGCACGTGAGGGGCGGGGTCCGAGGCCCCCCCTCCCCACCTCTTACGTATACGATCGTCAACGTTGCCCGGTGCCCGGGGGGGGCGGGGTTGGCCCAGGAGTCGACCGTTCCGCGCCGGAGGCCCTCCGCCCCGAGAGGACCCCCCAAGGCCGCCAGCAGGCGCCCAAGAGGCTCCCGCGAGGCCCGAACAGGCCCTCGGGAGGCCCAAAAGGCCCCCAGAGGGTCCCCAAGGAGGCCCCCACAGGCCTCACCCGCGGGCTTCATGCCTGCTCTGGGGGCCGGCGGAATGGAGCAAGCCTCTTGCATGAAAGAAACAAGCGCGTGCGTGACATGCAACGGGGGGGGGGCGCATCCGACCCCCATGGCACTGGCAGCGCCCCGGGCCGGGCAGAACGACACGGCAGCGCTTCGCGGCCGAGGAGCAAAGGGCAAACGAACCCCACGATGCACGGTTTCCCCTGGGGCCCTATAGGCGACCCGAGGAGGAGGAGGAGGAGGAGGAGGAGGAGGAGGAGGAGGAGGAGGAGAAGGAGAAAGGAAAGAGAGGAGAGGAGAGGAGGAAGGAGGAGGGGAGGAGGAGGGGGGGGTAAGGAGGGGGAGGAGGGAGGAAGGAAGGAGGGGAGAGGAGGAGGGGAGGAGAGGGAAGGAGAGGAGGAGGAGGAGGAGGAGGAGTAGGAAGGATGAGAAGGAGGGGGGGAAGGAGGGGAGGAAGGGGAGGAGGAGGGAGAAGGAGGGAGGAGGAGGAGGAGGAGGAGGAGGAGGGAGGAGGAGGGGGAGGAGGAGGAGGAGGAGGAGAGGAGAGGGTGGCGGCGTGCAGGGTCTGCCAGGTCGGGCAGTGTAGGGTCGTGGTGGCGCGGTGGAGGCGGAGGAGTCGGGTGGGGTCGAAAAGGTTTCTCCCTTCAGGGACCGGGCTTCGTTGCTTCTGACTGTCTAACAGGAGCCCCTCCGCGTCTTGCTTCTCTTCTTCTTCTGCTTACCTCTTCTTCCTTCTTCCTCTTGTGTTTTCTTCTTCTGCTTCTGCATCCGCTCGTCTGCTGCTCCGTCGTGTCTATCTTCTTCCGCCTTTTCTGCCACCGCCCTTCTACGTCGCCCCCCACACCCCCACGACCCCGACCTACGTGGCTCTGGACGGCGCCACACTCCCCCCCCCGCAAGCGACGGAGGGGAACACAAAAACAGGGTGCGTGCGTGGAGGGGTGCGTGCGTGGCCCGGATCGGGCAGCCGCGGCCTGCGGCCACCGCCTCGGAGGCGTCCAGCGGGGGTCGCGGGCCCACCGCGGGCAGGGGCGGAGAGGGCCGGGTCGGGGCGGGAGCCGCCTTGTGTGCCGGCGGGCGTCCAGCCCGCTGGGGGTCTCTGTGGGTCACTCCCTGGGCCCTCCTCGGCCGACAGGGTGGCCGACCGACCATGGTGATGGTGCTGCTCCCGCGCCCGTCCTCTCTCTCTCTCTCACTCCCTCTTTCTTCACGCTCTTTTTTAATCGTGTGTCCTACCACTTCTTGCCGTATGCGTCACATCTCGTCGGCACCTCGCCCTGCTTGTCCGTGCTGCCTCCCGAACTAGCACTCGTGGGATCATCCATCATCCCCCCATCATGTCCTCTGCCTCCCTCCCTCCCTCCCCCTCGCTTCCTATCCTGCCCCCTCTCGCTCTCCCCTCTCCGTCTCCCAATGCCCGATGCATCGCTCGCGTGCTCATTCCCCCTCTCGTCGAGGTGTGGAAACCATTCTGGATTCGCATGGGTTCCCTATCCTCCCTACCTCTCCCTCCCTTCTGCTCTTCACCCCTCTCCATTCTCACCCCTCTGTGGAGGTATCCATTGGTCCCTGGAGGTCCCTAGAGACCCCGAGGTCGCTGGAGGCCCCTGGAAGCCCAAAGAAGCCAGGAACGCCCAAACGCCTGGACCATTTAATCCTCGGACGCCTGTATGTGCGAAGATATGCGTAAGAGTGACTGGGAAGAGAAAACACATGTTGGTCCTGCGTGTGGATGGGAGGCAAGCTTTGCGCGCCGATTGCTGCGCGCTGCCCCTGGGCCGAAGTGGCCAACCATAGCGACACGAAACGAGCATCAAAAAATCAGCGGCTGAGCAAGGCTAGCAAGCGAAGTCCATCCCAGCCCCGCGTCCACCCTCCATCGGCGCTGCCTGCGCGCGCCGCGCGTCTCTCGCCCCTGGCGGCGCCCGGGACGCGCCTGACTCAGAGACGGTCCGGATGCCCACCATGGCCGAGCAAATCTCGCCCGGCTCCTCGGCGCTGCGCCCTCCGGGCACGAGGATCCGCATGGTCCCCTGGGACTCGTTGGTCGTGCACGCGTAGTTGACCCTGGCGCCGTTCGGCAGCATCAGCTGCGTGATCCCGGTGGCCTCGTCGACCTGCCGAGAGCGGCCCGCGGCTCTTCTTGGGCATGTTGGCAGGGAGGGGGCGGGGCGGGGGCTCCGTCGGGGGTCGGCGCCGCCCATGGGAGGCTGGGACAGAGAGAGGGGGAGAGAGAGAGAGAGAGCGGTGCACCTTCCTGAAGGGAGAGCGGTGCATCTCCTCCTCCTCCTCCCTCCTCCTCCTCCTCCTCCTCCTCCTCCTCCTCCTCCTCCTCCTGCTCCGTAGCCATTTTGGCTCAAGCCGTGTTCCCCGCCTTCTCCGCTGCCTTTTCGCCCATGGTCGGCGGCTCGGTGGCGGCGGTGGCGGGCGCGCCTTGGATGGCTGCGGGGGGCTGCCCGCTGATGTGGCGGCCCAGTGTGATCAGGATCATGGAGACGGACTCCCTCGGCGCTTCCGCGGCGAGGCGTGCTGCTCGGCGGCGCGGTCGCGCGGCTCTTGAAGCAGCACTGCGGCCGCTGGTTGCGGCACGGGGCGCCCCGGGCTCGTGGGTGGACCGCGAGCGTGCGTCGAGGCCGGCTTTGCAGAAGATTGCAGCAGGGGATCGTGTACCTGGTGTGATGCGGCTCAGGCGGAACACTGCCTGGCATGCGCGCCGCGTGCCGCCTGGCGGGTTCACGGCGGCTTCCTCGGCGGCGCTGTCCTGGGCTGCGGCTGGTCCCCGTCTGGGGCATGCGGCGAGTGGCATGCGGGCTGAGGCCATGCCGTTCGAGCCGCGGGCGGCCTGCCGAGTCGTGGGCGTGCGCTGCAATTGCGGTACCACGGTGTTCGCGCCGAGCCCGCCCCCTGCTGTGCAGATGCCGCGCGTGACGGAGTCCGACGAAGGCACCGAGCAGTGCGAGAGCGGGGACGTGGACTCGGAGTTGGCTGGGCGGCGCGTGGCTCAACCTGTGCAGGGGGAGGCGACGAGCGTCGACGAGGCTGCCGAGGAGTTCGCGGAGCCGCAGGTCTCGCAGGCGCCGATGCCAGGCGCAGAGGTGACTGACTCCATGATCAGCGGGAGCGAGAGCGTGGACGTGGACTCGGAGGTGGCTGCTCGTTGCGTGGCTCATCCTGAGCCGTCGCGGAGCTCTGGCACGGCGGTGGCGTGCAGCTACCCTTGTGATGCACGGCGTTGGACGTCGGCCGAGGGTGCGGTGTCGGATGCCTCCTACGCGGCGCAGGGGGAGGCGCGCGGCGGCGCTGTCGCTGAGGAGTTCATGGACGCGCAGGTCTCGCTGGCGCCGTGTGCAGGCGCTACGCTCGGCGACGGCGTCTCGGAGGCTGTCGCGGTGCCGAAGAGGAAGGGTCGCTGTCGGGAGCTGCTGGAGAAGGCCGAGCGGGACGGCACTTCCCCCTTCTCTCCCGAGGTCATGGCCCAGCTTCTCGGCCGCAGGTGACGCTGCTCTACTTCGGCGTCTCCGAGGGCCTCGTCACGGTCGGGGGGTCAGGGCTGGTCAGGTCCAGCCTGGGCCCCCCGCGGGCGCACGTGTGTGCACTTCTCAGCCATTTCAGCCATTTCCTCCTCCTGCTGCCCCGCCTCCTGCTCCTCCTGCTGCCCCTCCTCCTGCTCCTGCTCCTCCTCCTCCTCCTCCTCCTCCTCCTGCTCCTCCTCCTCCTCCTCCTCCTCCTCCTCCTCCTCCTCCTCCTCCTTCTCCTCCTCCTCCTCCTCCTTATCCCCTCCGCATCCTCCTCCGCATCCTCCTCCTCTTCATCCTCCTCGCCGCGCTCGTCACGAAGTCAACCCTCCGCGGGCACACCTCTGGCCTCCACCAGTGGTCTCCTGACCGCGAAGAGGCCCCCAAGGCCCTGTGAGACCACCGAGCCTGGCTGGGGCGGAGGGTGCCCCCACCCTGAGCGGGCGGGCGCAGGCGCTGCGTGCGCAACCTCTCTCCTCTTCTGCTCCCCTCCTCTGTTAACCAGCCTAGCGACGACAATGTTAGGGATGTGCCCCCAGAAACTGAAGGAATCCTTAGGATCGGCACCGAGGTAAGGTGATGCCACATATGAGGAAAGGGATATGCTTCAAGCTGGTAGTCTGTGTCGTCGCCGCTGCCGGCGCTCTCCATGCACACGCCCTGCAGCCTACGGCGATCTCCTGCCATCACAGCATCTGCTCTGGTTTATGACACCGCGTGATCTGTTCCACCTTGAGCGAGCTCTGCATTCGGGGGGTCCTGGAAGCTGTCGACCACACCTTCCACGTGGACGTCGCGCTGTGGGCCCCGGGCCTGAAACAGGCCCCGCCGAGGGTGCTCAACCTTGAACCTCCGCGTCGAGGTCGCCGCGGAAGAGCCGTCCCCCCTACCCAGAAGGGAGGCAGAGCGGCCAGGTGGCACTCCGAGAAGAAAAAAACAAAACATCCTTGCGGCTCGTGGCGCGCCAGGCAGTCACCGCGTCGACTGGCTGCCCCGCCAGCAGCGTCTCGAGCTGCTGCTTCATCAGGCTGTCCGGCACATCAACCTGGTTCAGCGCGTCCTCCTGTTCAGAGCACGGGCGCTGAGGCGGACGGGTTCTTCAGCACCGCTCGTGAGCCGCTCGAGAAACAGGCGCCAGGGGCACGCGGGAGCAGCCCAGATCAGGCCAGGCTGGTGCTGCGCCGCAGCGAGGCAAGGCAGAGCCAGCGCTCGGGCAGAGCGTGTCAAGCCTCGCCTGGAGCGAGCGAAAGCCAAGCGAAGCTGAGCTGAGGCGAAGCCTGCTCAGGCTGGTCCAGGCCTGCACATAGAGACTGCAGGAGTTACGCTGAAACTGAGATCTAGCTCGTCTCAACGTATGAACTGGCATATGCATGTGTATCGTGTGAGTTAGCACAAACACTGGAATAGCTACAACTGGAGCTCACTGTCGTGTTCACCTTGGGACTGATATGCGTGCATGCATGGCCGCTGCAAACACTGGGCTGTACGCCGTCATGTGGGTTCGTGCGAGCGAAAAGTGCACACGTTCTCTCTCTCTCTCTCTCGTTGTGTCGTTCTCTCTCTCTCTCTCTTTCTCTTTGTTTGTTAGTTTCTCTATATATATATATATACAAGCCTACGTATATATTTATATGCACACACTTATAAGCATATACGTACGATCTAGTTATGTCCATGTATATGCATATATGTCTCCCTTTCCCTCTCTACAGATATCTCTCTCTGTCTCTCTTTCTCTCTCTCTCTCTCTTTATCTCTCTCTTTCTCTCTCTCTCTCTCTCTCTCTATCTCTTTCTCTCTCTCTCCCTCATCTTTCAATAAAGTGCGACATAATAATAATGATGGTCACGAAGGCTGCCCCTGTCTAACGACAGCCAGCGGCGTGCTGGCGCTTGAGCATGGACCAGAAAGTCACATAGAGTGGCACTCGATCTTCATCCGCTGCAGCACTAAACCGAACTACACTTAGTGATGCGTGACATTTAGATATTCGCCACCGTGCCGCGAGGCACGAGTCGGAGTGCATTCAGGCCCCTTGTAGTCATCAGTCCTCAGTCCTCAGGATTCAATATGAAGCACAGAACCAGAATTCTATGATTTTCCGGGGTTCCTGCGAGCCTCCCGCGGTTCCCCAGAGCTTCCCGCATGACTTGCTAGAAGCCCAGAGCGCTCCGTAACGGGCCAGAGGGCCCCGAGACAGGCACGGTGGCGGTATGGGCCGAAGGCCGATAGATCCGCCGCCCCCTTTTGCTTCAACAAAGGGGTGCCCAGCGTGCCAAATCCTATCGGTTTTGGTTTTGGCTCTTTTTCCAAAAGAACTCTCCCAGTGGGTTTCGGCCCGTCCCGCCGAGGTCCCGGGATTTTGTCACGGACCTCAATTCCCTACTTTTCTGCCCAAGACGGCTCCACGATGGCCTCCAAGATGGCCAAGATGGCCCAAGATGGCCTCCAAGATGGTCCAAGATGGCCTCCAAGTCCGCCCAAGATGGTCCAAGGCGGCCTCCAAGACGGCCCAAGAGAGTCCAAGACGGCCCAAGACGGCCCAAGAGGCCCCCCAGAGCCTCCCAGACGGCCCAAGAGGCCTGCAAGAGGTCCTCCAGGAGGGCCCGAAGAGGCCAAAATCATTGATTTTCCGTAGGTTTTTGAAGGATTTTGGAATGTGCTTCTTCTCGGCATTCCGACGGCTCAAGACAGCCCAAGAGGCCCCCAAGATCGCCCAAAAGGCCCCCAAGAGGGCCCCATGACGGCCCAAGTGGCCTCCAAGATGGCCCCAAGAGGGCCCCAAGACAGCCCAAGAGGCCTCCAACAAGCCCAAGATGGCCTCCAAGACGCCCAAGATGGCCTCCAAGACGGCCCCGAAGCGCCCCAAGAGGGTCCCCCGTTGGCCCAGAAATGCTCCCGAGACGGCTCCCGACGGCGTCAGACGTGCCAGGAACCCACCAAGATGGCCGAAGTTGGCTCGAAGCTGGCCCCAAAGGGCCCAAGAGGCCCCCAAGAGGGCCTCCAGGAAGGCCAGAAGAGGCCAAAAACATTGATGTTCCTTAGGTGTTTGACGGATTTTGACATGTTCTTTTTTTCGGCTTTCCGACGGCCCGAGACGGCCCAAGAGCCCCCAAAGATCGCCGAAAGATCGCCCAAGAGGCCTCCAAGACGGCCAAGATGACCTTCAAGATGCCCACGTGTTCCCCGAAGGCTTTCCAAACCGATTCGGGGAACACATGGTCCGATGGCTTGGCAGGTCTGGCCTCAACGTTCGGCCCCATAGGCGCTTCCACAAAGGCAGGGGGCGGCGGTGATTCGCCGTAGGCGTTTTCGATCCGCCGCCCCCTGTTGATTCATCACAGGGGTGCCTGGCGTGCTGAATCCTCTCGGTTTTGGTTTTGGTTCTTTCCAAAAGAACTCTCCCTGGGGCTTCGGCCCGTCCCGCCGCCACCCGGAAGGCGCTCAATTCCCAAATTGTTCGCTCAAGATGGCCCAAGATGGCCTCCAAGATGGCCACGTTGGCCCAAGATGGCCTCCAAGATGCTCTAAGATGGCCTCCAAGTCCGCCCAAGATGGTCCAAGACGGCCTCCCGGACGGCCAAAGAGACTCCAAGATGGCCCAAGATGGCCCAAGAGGCCCCCCAAAGGCCTCCAAGACGGCCCAAGAGGCATCCAAGAGGTCCTCCAGGAGGGCCCGAAGAGGCCGAAAACATGGATTTCCGATGCATTTTTGAAGGAGTTTGGCATTCGCTTCTTTTCGGCTTTCCGACGACCCAAGACTGCCCAAGGGGCCCCCTAGGTCGCCCCCACAGCGCCCAAAAGGCCTCCAAGATGGAGGACTGACTGCCCAAGAGGCCCCCAAGACGGCCCCAAGAGGGCACAAAGAGGACCCAAGAGGCCACCAAGACGCCCAAGATGGCCTCTAAGACGGCCCTGGAGCACCCCAAGAGGGCCCCAAGTCGGCCCAGAAAGGCCCCCAAAACGGCTTCCGACGGCGTCAGACGGGCCAGGAACCAACCAAGATGGCCGAAGTTGGCTCGAAGCTGGCCCAAGACGGCCCAAGAGGCATCCAAGAGGGCCTCCAGAAAGGCCAGAAAAGGCCAAAAACACTGATTTCCCATTGGTTTTGAAGGATTCTGACATTTGCTTCGTTTCGGCCTTCCGAAGGCCCGATGCGGCCCAAAAGCCCCCAAAGATCGTCCAAGAGGCCTCCAAGATGGCCCCAGATCGGCCCAAGAGGCCCCCAAGACACCCCCAAGAGGCCCCCAAGACGGCACAGGAGGCTTGTAAGACGCCCAGGATGGCCTCCAAGACGGCCCTGGAGCATTCCAAGAGGGCCCCCCCAAACGGCTTCCGACGGCGTCGGACGGGCCAGGGGCCCACCAAGACGGCCGAAGATGGCACTAAGATGGCCCAAGACGGCCCAAGAGGCCTCCAAGAGGGCCTCCAGGAAGGCCCGAAAAGGCCAAAATCATTGATTCCCCATGGATGTTCAAAGGATTGTGGCATTTGCTTTTTGGTTTGCCTTCCGACGGCCCGAGACGGCCCCAGAGCCCCCAAAGATCGCCCAAGAGGCCCAAGACGGCCCCAAGAGGCCCCCAAGACGGCCCCAAGAGGCCCCCAAGACTGCCCAAGATGCCTCCAAGGCGCTCAAGATGGCCTCCAAGACGGCCCAAGAGCCCTCCAAGACGTCCTCCAAGAAGGCCCGACAGGGTCCAAATGGCCTCCAGGCGGCCAAGGTGACTTCAAGATGCCCACGTGTTCCCCGAAGACTTTCCAAACCGATTCGGGAAACACATGGTCCGATAGCTTGGCAGGTCTGGCCTCAACGTTCGGCCATAAAGGCGCACTGGGGCCTTCGGTGGAGCTCCCTATGGGGCCACGAAACGCTGTGCTGAGTGGGGGGGACGCATGTGGACGGTGGCACTGGGACCTTCGGTGGAGCTCCCTATGGGGCCACGAAACGCTGTACTGAGTGGGGGGGGGACGCATGTGGACGGTGGCACTGGGACCTTCGGTGGAGCTCCCTATGGGGCCACGAAACGCTGTACTGAGTGGGGGGGACGCATGTGGACGGTGGCACTGGGGCCTTCGGTGGAGCTCCCTATGGGGCCACGAAACGCTGCACTGAGTGGGGGGGGACGCACGTGGACGGTGGCACTGGGGCCTTCGGTGGAGCTCCCTATGGGGCCACGAAGCGCTGTGCTGAGTGGGGGGGACGCATCTGGACGGTAGCACTGGGGCCTTCGGTGGAGCTCACCATGGGGCCACGAAACGCTGTACTGAGTGGGGGGGGACGCACGTGGACGGTGGCACTGGGGCCTTCGGTGGAGCTCCCGATGGGGCTACGAAACGCTGTACTGGGTGGGTGAAACGCATGGGAGGAGGGAGGAGGGAGGAGGAGGGAGGAGGGGGAGGAGGAGAGGAGGAGAGGAGAACGCGGGGACCGTCTCTTCAAAACGAGGACCCAACAACACAGGTTGGTTGGGAAAAAATAATTCCGAACGATTTCGAAACTTTCGGGTTCGATTTCGAAGTGGCGCTCCCGCCCATGACTTCCTCCAAACTAGAATTCAAAACCTTTCTGGCGCGGTTTAGACATGGCGCTCCCGCCCAGGACTTCCCCGAAACAAACTTGGGAGCTTTCTGGGTTCGATTTCGAAATGGCGCTCCCGCCCGATTTCGGAATGGCGCACCATTCCTCGAAAATAAAAGTCGGCACTTCTTCAGCTCGAATTCGCAATAGCGCTCAAGCCTGAGACGTGTCTTGGTGGAAGCACCAAACGGGTCAAAACTTGCGTAGCGCCGACGTATGTCCCCAGAGGCCCCCAGAACGCCCGCAAGACGGTCCAAGAGGGCCCCAAGCCGGCCCAAGAGACCCCCAAGACGGCCACATAGACCTCCAAGACAGCCCTGAAACGCCCAAAGTGGGGCCGACGACTGCCCAGAGAGGGCCCCAAGACAGCCTCAAGTGGCCAAGAGGAGGTCCGTTAGAGGCTCCCACGAAGGCTTCCAGAGGCCCCCAAGAGGCCCCCAAGAGACCCCCAAGAGGTTCTCAGGAAATGCCCAAGAGGCCTCCAAGAGGGCCCCAAGAGGCCTCCTACTACTGTTCCTCCTCCTCCTCCTACCCCTCCTCATCCCCCTCCCCGTCCTCCTCCTCCTCCTCCTCCTCCTCTCCTCCTCCTACCTCCTCCTCCCCGCCTCCTCCTACCTCCTCCCATCATCATCATCAATCATCATCAATCAATCATCCTCATCATCATCCATCATATCCATATCATCATCCATGTCATCATCATCACATCATCATCATCATCATCATCATCATGATCATCATGAATCATCATCATCGCATCATCAATCATCATCCATCAACAACATCCTCATCAACAACATCATCCTCCTCCTCCTCCTCCTGCTCCTCCTCCTCCTTCTCCGCTTTCTCCTCCTCCTCCTCCTCCTCCTCCTTCTCCACCTCCTCCCGTTCTCGTCCTTTCCCACGTGCCCCCCCAAGAGAAATCACAACGGCTGGTGGGAACATGAAGTCCAATAGCTCTGTGACACTTCGGCCCCAACGTTTGGCCACATGGGCTTTTCCTAAGGGCAGGAGGCGGCGGAGCCTCGCCGTAGGCGTCCTCGATACAAGTGCGCGGCAAGTGCGCAAGGGCCTTGGACGCCCACGCCGAAGCTCCTCGAGCGAAGCTGGCGGCCCTCCAGGGTGGCTGAGGATGGACCGGAAATGGCCGAAGAGGCAAACGTGCAAGGGAGCTCCTGGAGGCCTCCTGCATGGGGTCGTAGTAGATGGGGTCGGGAGATCGCGCCGCATCGCCGATACATCGGCGTTGCATCGGCGATGCATCGGCCATGCATCTGCCATGTACTGGCGACGTCGGCGATGCATCGGCGACGCTGGCGTGGGGAAAAACACGCTCCACATCGAGCCGCATCGCCGATGCATCGTCGATGCGGCGCGATCCTCCGACCCCATCTACTCCGACCCCATCTAGGAGGCCTAGAACTCCTGGGAAGCCGATCATCCTAACTATCGGTCTCGACCGCACGCCCTCCCGCACTCCTGCAGAGCGCAGGGCCCCCCTCTCCACCCATGCGTGATGGTGGTGGTGGGACAGGGGGGGCCGCTCCTGCCGGGGAAGAGGGCCCCTGCGGCCGGCAGGGGCCGCCGGCGCCCCGGCTCCTTGGATTTGTCGGGGACCGTGATCAGGAGCTCCACGATCTCCTCCTCCGTGATCGTGAACGGCGACCACGCGTCGCTCTGCTCCTGCCGCGTCGGGCGGCGCAGAGGCCGAAGGAGGAGGAGGAGGAGGAGGAGGAGGAGGAGGAGGAGGGAGCCCCCCTGGCGCGACCCTGCGGCCCCGGGCGCGCGCCGTGCCGAGCGGAGCGCCGCCGAGGGAGAGCCCCGCGCCCGAGGCGCCGAGGGGCTCCCGCGGCAGCAGGGAGGGGCCGCAGCGGCCAGCGGCGCGGGCGTTCTCCGTCGGGCGTCCTCCACGAGGCGGGGTCTCCGCCGGGTGCTCGCCGTGCGACAGATCACGGGAGCCAGACCAGATCGAACCCGCCCTCTGCGTGTGTCCCCACTGCTCGCCTCGCCGCCCAAGCTGGCCTTCCACTCGGCTTCTGCCACGACCCCGCCCGAATCCCTTGTCCCCGGCCGTTTCAAAAGCCCACTGTCGGGCCCATCCCTCGTCTTCGAATCGACACTGGGGCCCTCCTCCCCCTCTACCTCGCACTCACTCCAAGCTGCATGACTCTCCGTAAGGGTGCCGCTAAGACCTGCTGTACAGGAAAGAGGAACGGGACGAGCGGGAGGAAGGAGGGTAGGAGGAGGGGGAGGAGGGGGAGGGGGAAGAGGAGAGGGAGGGGGAGGGGAGGAGGAGGAGGAGGAGGAGGAGAAGGAGGAGGAGGAGGAAAGGAAGGGAGGAGGAGAGGAGAGGAGGATGAAAGAGGAGAAGGAGGAGGAGGAAAGGAGATGGGACGAGGATGAGTAGGATGACGAAAGGGAGTAGGAGAAGAGGAGGAGGAGGACCAGGAGGAGGACAAAGGAAAAAAAAAAAAAAAAATGAATAAACAAGAAAGAACAGAAAACCACAAAAATATAGAGGAGCAGGAGGAAGAGGAGGCGGGGGCGGAGGCGGGAGGCGGAGGCGAAAGCGGAGGAGGAGGAGGAGGAGGAGGAGGAAGAGGAAGAGGAAGAGGACGACGACGACGACGAGGGGGCGGGGGAGGAGGAAGAGGAGGAGGGGGGAGGGGGAGGAGGAGAGGGAGGCAGGAGGAGGAGCAGAGGAGGAGTGCAGAGAGGAGGGGGGCGGCGAGCTGGTGCGCTCGCGCCACGTCTGACACCGCACAGCCAACCCACATAAGAAGAATCTGCGGAAAGGATGCAAGGGCCCTGGAAGGCCATGCCGCGGGCACTTTGCGGGCGGGGCGCGGCCAGCGAAAGCGGCCAAGGATGAGCCGAAGGGGAAGGATACTTGGGAAGCTGCTCATCCTTGCTATGCGGGTTGGCTGTACCCCTCCTTCCCATCCCTCTCCATTGCGCTGGTGTTTGCCGATCCACGGACAAAGATCACAGTCTACCTGGAATCCCAGAAAGACCAAGTCGTGTGATTCGCAATCGGAAACGGGCAGGTCGGAGGAGCAGGTGGAGCGTTCCCAAAGGAGTCCAGCTCAGACATCACTGCAGCTGCTACGACTACGACTACGACTACGACTACAACTACGACTACGACTACGACGACGAGTACGACTACTACGACGACCACGACAACGACGACGACGACGACGACGACGACGACGACGACGACGACGACGACGACGACGACGACGACTACTACTGCTGCTACTACTACTACTACTACTACTACTACTACTACTACTACTACTACTACTACTATTACGACTACTACGATCACTACGACGACGACGACGACGACGACGACGACTACTACCACTACTACTACTACTACTACTACTACTACGACGACGACGACGACGACGACGACGACGACGACGACGACGACGACGACTACTACTACTACTACTACCACTACTACGACGACTACGACTTCTTCGCGTCTACTACACGACTACTACTACTTTCACTACTACCACTTACTACTGTCTACTTTTCTACGATTACTAATATTACTCTTACTACTCTTACGTCTACGTCTACACAACTACGACCTGCGACTCCTACTACTACTTCAACTTAATACTACTACCTATATTTACTACTTATACTACTAATATCTACTATCTACTACTACTACTAATTATTAATAGGGTATAACTTACGATTACTTCGGTTTTTTATTACTTCTTCACATTCACTCTACTACTACCTCAAATTCTACTACTTTTATTTTAATACTTCTTTTCCACTATAATGCTCTTTACTACTTACTACTACTACCTCTACTTCTATCTTTCGAATTTACTTACGTCATACATACGGAATACCTACATAACTTCTTATACTACACTACTTCTACTACTACTTCATGTTTTGACTGATATACTTAATACTTATATTCTACTAATACGACTACTATCTACTTTAATACTACTCCCAATACCACTAGTACACTTACTACTATTACTACTACTACGACGACGACTTACTCGATTTGTTCTACTACTACTACTTACTTCAAAGACGATTCTACTTACTACTAATACTACTACGAATACTACTGCTCTACTTCGGATACTAATACTACTAATACTAATACTACTACTACTAATTATACGGTTTTATC